ACAACTCCCCCTTCTAAATGCAAGATACTTATAAGACTTCGGAGATATTCAGTACAGTATTACTCCACTGATATTTATAAGAGCTAGACCTTTTTGAAAAGGGCTAATCTTTAGCATCATGAAATATACAAAATGATAGTTGACTCTGTAATGTTACTTGTAATACTGAATATTCAAGATGCTTAATTATTAATAGAAATGTGAGGGGAAAGTACGGTGCTTTTTACAAGTACATTTCACATCATTGACAAATGTGTTTCGATGTATTCTGTCAAAAGTAATTATTTTAACGTAGTGGATTTCTGGAAATACAAGTGACAAACTGAAGAAACTTCAGAAACATTTAAGCAATATTCTTTGGCCACATCAGAATACTTCAGATGGTTAGTGCTATGAATTCAAATACCAGCTATTCCATTCAAAGACTTCAAAAAGTTATAAAGAACAATCCATCAGGTTTCAAAGATAAGGATAAAGATGTACTGTTTAGTTACAGGAAAACACATCAGACAGAATAATGACTGAATTGTATAAATCTTCAGAAACAAAGATGAAACTTTTTGGACTTACAAACACCAGTAATCATTATATGAATTGTACAATTATAATGGGCTGTTGAGAACATCTTCCTTCACCTTCAGAGACCTAGTTCTGAAGCAACCTGATCATCTAAAAATATATTTTCCAGCGTTCAAGATGATCTTCCCTACTAGCAAAGCTGAAGTTCCCCAGACATACTGGGTTAGAAACCGGATTCAATATTAAATGACTGCCAATTTCCAATGCTGTCGATAAAGCTTTATGGTCTTTTCCATACCATAGATCCATATTATCAACTTTTCTTTTTCATTAGAGGACAAAAATCAGGTTGTGTATGCTGAACACACTAGTCACATGCATTAAGAAACTTTGAACCATTTTTCTTTTTTTTAAAGTTGGCAGAAATAAAACCAAAAATCTCTAAGAAAAATGCCCTTGCCCTTTATGGCAATGAGCAGATAAAGCTTTTCATGACATGGAGATAAAATCCCAAGACACGTCTATTAAGCAGGGGAGGGGGAGGCTTTTTTCTCCAGGCAGCTGACAACCTGCTACTTAGTGTGTGCCAAAATGCCAGCAGATGAATTTAAAGAACCTAAATTCACAGGGAACTGGACCACATTTCCGATGCTTCTCACAGTTATTAGAAAAAGCTATAGAATTGAACATGAGTAACTTCTGAACAAACATGCTCAAACTGCACTGTAGAATTCGGAGATTATTTCTGTGGAACTTCTATTTAAATTGTGCACATTTACTTGGGAGTAAAAGAACATCCTAAAGCAGAGAATGCAGCATCACACCTTACTTCCAATGTGATGTTTAACAAGAGATGTAATACTTTCTCTGGCACTGTATCATTCTAAATTGGCTTCTGTGCAAATGCAACCAGGATTGTTGTATAAAATTATCTGGGCGGCAATCCTACTCCTACATAAGCAAATCCTTTGATCACAGACAACTATAAATAGCTGTATATATGTCTACACAATGTTAAACATCATGCCAGCTCCTAGATACGACGGACCAGCATTTATGTGAATATTAATGCAATCTCAGCTGCATTAGTGCAGCCCTAAACAGAATTAGACCCGTCTACCTCCAGTGAAATCAATGGGCTTAGGAGGGTATAATTCTATTTAAGATTGAGCTGTATATCAGCTAACTGATGCAATTAAACACTTTAAGTGAAAATTAAAGTCTCTTTTCATTTAAACAGAAACAAGGGAAAATGCTTGGACTTAGAATTATCTAACATACCCATCACTGAATAAGATTCCTCTCCCAGAACTAAACTTCAAGAAAAGGCAACACAAAAATTGCTCATCTGTCCATTTTGAGTTAACAACCAACTATTCCTGTTTCAGGTTTTTCTTCTTACAATAAATGCAAAAAGCAACTGCAGGTGACTATGTTCAATTAACATCAATTTCACTGCTTTTTAAAAAATGGATAATCCATAGTAATGATGGATCTTGAGCTCCCCCCCCTTTGAAAACACTTTAGAAATAAAAATTAAAGATAAAATTTGCCTATAGTAAAGTGATATATAGAGTGATATTTTAGTTATTAAGTTTTTACATGTTAGAAGCTATTATTAGTAACTACTTCTGATTCATTGGTCCATTATTTGGGGAACCCTCTTTAGAGACTTCATTCCCTCTTTAAGAATCTTCTTAACTCATAAATGGAAATCTTTACAGCTATCCTTTAATAGGCTATGTACCAGTTACGATTTTTCCCCAGCCTAACTTGCTTTCAATTGATCCAACTCATTAACAAAATATTACAACACCTCTGTAGAAATGAAGACGTAAAAATCTATTCAATGTCTTCCCTCAAAATGCCACACAAAGCACAGATCAAAATGTTGTATAAACATTCAGAAGCATACAGAAATTAAAAAGTATTCATGAGATGAAAATAGATACAAAATGAAAATATTGGCATGCATATCGCTAATAGTGGACTGCTTTATATTTCAGAGCTCTCTCTTGTATTCAGATTACTTGCTTTTACATACTGAATCCCATTTGAAACAGAGGGAAATCTCACTGAAATGAAGCTAGTTTAGGAAATAACTTTATAACCATGCCAGTTCAGTGAACAGAACAGTGAACATGGAATTCCTGGGTTCCAGAGTCACCGGGGCAGGTTCATCTACATACACCTACACTTCTTGATCACTCATCAGTATGGCATGCAGCTGTACGTGGGAACTGCCTCCAGTGAAAAAGGCTGGAATGATGGCATTAATAAAGGGATGAAATTCACATTTCTGACCAATGCTTCTCTTCCTTGCCTCTGTATCTGTAAAATAGGTTTACCCTGCTTCACTGTATTTACAAGAAAGTATTTGAGAAGTAAGACACAACCTGTGGAAATTAGGTTGATTTTAAGAACATGCAGATATTTCAAGAACATGCAGATATTTCAAGAACATGCAGATATTTCAAATAATTGGGGGGGGGGAGTATACCAATAGCTAGGTTCCCCAAAGATGGTTAACACTCTCTTTGATACACCATGTGTCACAATACATTCCTGAGCACATTGTCTTGTAGCTAAAGGAGGAATGTACACACATGGAAAAGAAGGATGACATGTCGAGCTAAAACTTTGCTTTCCCATTTTGCTGTGGGACTTCTAACTGCCAAAAGGGATAAAGCTACTGTGAGGACAGGCACCATGTCTCTTTCAGCAGTACAAACAGTTACACTAAAGCCAGGAAGCACAGCTCCAGCTGAATGTGCAGCAGTTGCACAAACACATTCCTTTTTCTGGTTCCTGGCAAAATGTAGAAATAGCCTAGTGATTTCACTGCAGCTTACCTATGTATAAAGAGATTGGAACTACTGCATAAAATATCACATTTCCCAAGGATATCAATCAGGTTAGCATTTTTAATTTGCGCAACAACAACAAAAATACTAGCATGCAGTTAGAAGCATATAAAAGTTCTTAATTCTTACACACACAGGCACATATATGTAAAATGCAGTATTCTGAAGATAGATTTGGGGAGATGCAAGGGAATGAAACAGAAACTGCTAGTAATCAACACTGACTACAGTTTCAGTAGCTTAGCATCTTATAAACGCTAATATCAAACATGTGTGTGTGTGTATAATAAAGCAAATAAGATCTCTATAACATATTTTAACCCTGTCCAACATTCAAAAAACAATACTGAAGAGCTGTATCCTTACTGCAGTCCTAAAATCACTTATTCAAAAGTAGCTCCCCTGAATTCCATAAAACTACTCTCACAGTAAATGGATTTAGGACTTCAGCCAGTCACCTTCAAGTCAACCAGTTATAATTAACTTTCATAAAAACATATATATTAGTATACCTGGCCCAAGCTAGGCTTTTGAGGAAGAAACAGTAGAGTATGTTGTCCATAATCTTAATATAACAATCACCATGACTACAAAACTTTAGCTGTTCTTTAGCCCCAACACTTTGCAGACACATCAACTCTAATCCTACAGCATACACATGGGGAATTAAAGGTCTTCATGAAAATGGTAGGGCTTTAAGTAATATGCCTAGTGTTATGTTTCCTTCATTCTGCACAAACTCAACTTTTACTGCACTGAGATTACTGTAATAGAAACAAAATAAGGGCAATTCCAGAATTCAACTACTAGTTTTATGGCTTAAGAGAAAAATCCAAACAATTAAATGCAGCTTTGACAGCTTTCCCATAAACATAATTTATAACAGTCAATATACACCTATAAATATTAACTAAGTCTTGTGTTTTTAAAATAATGTGTTTTTTTAAACTTTCAATAGCTACCTCTGAACACTTGCAATTTGATTCCTATTCCTTTATGGAGACAGTACGCAACAGAATATATCTCCCCCCATTTAATATGCACAAAATGGTAATCAGATGAATCATATGGGAACTGTTTTCATTCTGACTTGTAGTGGAATAAAAGAATTAAAGTTCACACCAATTGATCTAAATATGAAGGCATTTTAAAAAAATCAATCCACAAACAGTGTCTAATTGTCCAGAGCCAATTTGTTAAAAGTGTTGCAACCATTTTCAAACTAGAGAAAGTTATTATTTGTCATTCAGGGTGCCTGGCTTTTTCCCTTATCATTGTAAGTGAGAAGAATCGATCACAACCTGAACAGATGAGAAACAAACAAAAAGCACTCAGTTTAATTCACAGTAAGAGAAGAATTTGTATTAGAAACCTGATGGGGGAGGGGGAGAAAACACCAATGGTGTTGCACAAGCAACTAGCCTACTGATGCCGACTCATGTAGTGGTTTTTGTTAAACTGGAAACGTATATGATTTTGTTTGAAAAAGTACATGAACAAACACCGGTTCAAAGATGCAGACCACCATTATTTTTTTAAAGACCACATGAAATTCATTGAGCAAACGTGGTCTTAAGCCAAATACAGGAGAGCCAGGGAAAACAAAAATGTGCTTACTTGGTGTACAAACACATCAACCGGCGCTTCCAAAGGGCTTCCCTCGCGGTTGATCATGGAAATAAATCCAAATCCCATCCGCACATTAAACCATTTGCAATGGCCTGTTCCGTGCAAGATCTGGGATCCCGCCTCCTCTTCCTCCTCCTCCTCCTCTTGTTCCGGCAATTTCCCGGGCTCATCTCCACCTTTACTCGCCCCCGCTGATTTGGGAAAGGAGGGCGGAAAACAAACACACAACAAAGGCAAAGAGTTAAAATACGAGGAACATCCCCTTGGCGGTTATACAAGAACGATTGCTTCAGAGAACAGAAAACACATGCACGCACGTAGAAACATTACGAAACCATCGCTCTGATTGCTGCCCACAAAAGGCATTAACAAACACCCCGACGCCGTGGAGGGAGGAAATGAAATGAAGGTGTTTTAAAAATAAAAACTCCTAAGCATCGGAAAGAGAGAGCAGCATCAGCTATGCCTCACTCGCGATTGGGGGTTTTTTTAGAACACAATACGCGCGCGCACATGCACGCACACACACCCTTCGAGCAGCCTAGCCCACGTTGTTCTGTACATACGTGCGATTCTGCCCTTTAACTCCATCTTTCAGCCACACAAACCACCCCCAGAAAGCGATACTTTACTTGGATACTGCTGGTTGAGCACCGATCCCATCCCTCCCCAGAGGAATTCGCAGGCGACTGAGCCTCGGCTGGCCAGGCGAGAGAAGAAGAGGAGGAGGAGGGGGCGACCTAGCCGAGAGAAGAGGCGATTGCACAACTTGGAACGGCCCATCCAGCAGCAGAAGCCGCGAGCGCCGTATGTTGTTTTCCGAGGGCGCTCATCCTCCCTCTCTCCTCCTCTCCCCCTCACGCTAGTCGCCCCCCCCTTTCCTTCACTCCGGCATCACTTTAAAGTCGGGAGGGGGGGCAGGTGTACAAAGGTTTCGCCGCCACCCCCCCTTCCCCCGGCAACTGCTTGCTCAATCACACAGGAACAATTGGAACAAAAGCCCCCTCTGAAAGCTTTTCAAGTTGGGTGAATCGGAGTGGGCGGTGCGGAGCACTTGGGCGATCTCGTCCACAATGGGGCCGGTCTCCCCCCTCCTCCGCGTAGACCCTTCCCTCTCCTACGCGAGATCAACTGTTTTAAAGGGGCTTTTAAAAAGCGGGAGCGGGGGGAACGAGAGGCAGAGGAGGAGAGTAAACAGAACCCAAACAAAACCGCAGGGGAAAAAAACAATAGGGGGGGGGGGGAATTAACCTTCGGCCATGTTGCCCCACGGGCCCTCTGCTCCAAAGTGGCGACAGGCAAAGTTCCCCCTGGCTGGCTCGGAGCGGTCTTTTGCGTCAGCCTAACATCTTGATTTTGAACGATCCCCAGTTTCGCTCGCATGGTCTAACGTGCCTTCCCTCGTTTGAGTTTCCCCCCCTTTGCTCGCGCTCCGTTCCTGGGCCCCTGCGCGCACGTGACTCGGTAAATTACATGCCTCCTTGCGACTAATTTCGCCCCGACTCCGCGGAGGGGGTTTGCCGAGAGGCGGGAGCAGCCAATCGCCGCCCCAAGCCGGCCTGACACCACCGGAATGGTTTATGAATGAACGACGGAATTTCAAAACACGGCTGGCCGTGAATTGGCACGTTTCGCTACGTAGATCCGGATGACGCGGAGAAGGCGAGGGAGTGCCCCGGTCGGCATTTCGGCGAGGGCTCCTCGCATACAATAACTGCGCTGCCTACGCAGCCGCATAGTTCCCCTTCTGCGTCTTGGAAACGTCCGTCCCTTGCGTGCACTTTCGCGACAACTCACCTCCGGCCTTCACAACTGCTGCCCTTAAAGGATCTTCTCTCTAGGAACGCGATCTGACACCTAGTTACACAGCTTTATCGGGACTGAAAGTCGGCTTCGTTTATTTAAATACGACTTGCCTCCCGGCAACATAAAAAATGTACGTCAGTATCCCATTAGAATGAGGGAACTGTGGGAGAAACTGCCTGTGGTCTTTTAACTATCCACAGCCCGATCCTATGCGTGGTGGTTACTCCGGGGTAAACCCGGGTTCAGAAGCTTATTTCCGCATGTGTGCGCACAGGACTGTAACCTATCATACAAGTGTAACTGACTATAACCGATTTACTTCTAAGTAAGGCATCGGCGTTGGGGGGAGGGGAAAGAACAGTAGAAATCTTAGCCCTTTTATCTGCAAGACCTCAGCCAAATATTAGGCATGGTTTACCTCTAGAAACCATTGGGCGTGTTCCTATACGTAGAACAGTGGGGCGAAGAAAATCATATACACGGTTCGGTTCCAACTTAACCACATCTTTCCTGTGGTAATACCGCTGAAAAAACAAACCAACCCAAATGTCAGTTCAACTTTTTAGCAACCTAATTGCTTTAAGTTCAATGAACATTCCCCCTATAGTTATAGATACTGTGTGGTAGTATGTCTGTGTACCCAAATGATGGTAATCGTATCCATATTTTACGGAGGCGTGAAATGCCATTCACAAAACAGTTGTGCCCCCCCCCCTTTAGACGCCTACCGGAAAGGCAGTGGCACCTCATTTTGGTTCGGAAAGCCAGGCGGTCCGGCGTTTCAAAGCATTTGGGGAAGAGAGGGCGGGGGAGGGGCCGGGCCAAGGATTGCGCTTCGCAGGTTCCCTCCGCCATCGCGTTCCGGGGGAGGGGATGTGATTAATGACTTCCTAAATAAGAGGCCAGTTTGCAAGCCCGGCATTACTACGAACCTCCATCAGCAACGATTGTTCTCGAAGAGGAGGGAGTTTGGTGGAAGGAACGAGAAGGCGACGCGAGGATTTGCCAGGGAGCAGGAAACCGAGCGGCTGGTGGGATACGGAGAGTGTGCAGGAGAAAGGACAACAAAGAGGAGAGGGATAAAGCTGGGCCCGGAGCCTGGAGTTTAAATCGCCCGGGGGTGGGGGGGCACAGATCTCGGTCACAGCCTGTCGTGTATATAGGGCGCTGAGTCGCCAGAGGCTTCCGGATGTGCACAACAGCTGAAAAGGCAGAGGAGGAATTGCCAATAACCAAAATAACGTTCATACCCCCACTCCCTCCTTAAGTCTAAACAATTGTTCTAATATTTGTGGCCTGGCTTTGTCAGGACGAAGGCGCGCGCGTTGCTCTTTCAAATAAATTGTGGCAGATACTTAAAGAGTGAGTCGCAAAGCAACGACATGACCACACGAAAAGTCTTAATGCCGATCGTCCGTTTTGACAGAGAAAGGGTCTCCTACGAGACCCCCACACCGCTTATCCCTCGGACTATCTTGGAACTAAGCTAACGTTCCGAATTTAAGCCTATTTACTGCGGAGCCACCCTGGCTTCCGTAGAACTGACGGCCCCATCAAGTGCGGACAGCGTCCCCACCTCCACTAGGCCACTTTTGAAAGCCGGAGGACTTGAGAGGGGCTCTCGTAGTGCAAGATACGTTTTCCTCTTCTGCTCCGGCTCTGTTTGCCCTGAATATGCTTTTATGAAATCGCAGGATTGCCCGCTGTTGTTTTAGAACTGGCGACAGACAGTCTAAACAAACAGCCAAGGTCTCCGAACTGGTTAAAGGGGCATATTTACTCCCTTCGTTTTTCGGACTGTGTGTGTTGGGGGGGGGGGGGTCGCTTATTTGGAGTGTATTTCTTTCTAGGATAGCAAGGTGGTCACTTTAGCATTCGCTCGGCGGGGGCAGTCACAAGTAATCCCTCCCCCCATGTACTATTCACATGAGCAAGTAGACAGAGTTCCTGAAATTCCTATGCAGTCCTCAACGGCAAACGTTGTCTACGAGTTATTTCAGAGCTGCCTCTTCCATTCGAGGAGGAGGCTCGTTTTGGCCCCTCCCCTGCTCCGCCTTCATCTCCTTTTAAATGTACCGCTGCCCTCGAACAGCAGGCAGTAAAAGCCTGCCATTCCATTCCATAGATGCACGGAGACTTACTTCTGAGTAAATATGTACGGGATCGTCCTGAACATTTAATTGAAACCCAAGGGACATGCAACCTGAGCCTTTGCGTGTTTAATATGAAGCGCCTCGGTTTTGTCTCCGAGTAAAGCCAGAAAGGTCTGCAGTCAGTATAGGTGTTAATTTTTTACTGATAGCTCTTTTTAAAAGTAACAGGGGAAGAAATGTGCATGAAAAAAACAAAGCATTAGATATAGCAATTTAGAAATAAAAGTGAAATGAGGTGTTGCATAGCCAATTACCCTGGGCCGTATGGGTAGGGCGGGATATAAATCCCAGAATAAATAAATAAATAAATATGCCCACAGGCATAAGCGTTTCACAGATCAGAGATAGGATACGCCGATAGATATCCTTATTTTCATAGGAATGATAAACCATTGCTGATCTCGTCAGGGTTCTAGCAAAAAAATAAATAAATTAATAGGTTGTCTTCCTCAAACAGAACTATGATTCCCCTCCCCTGAGTTAAAGATATGCAAGAAACAAATAGTTGTCTAATAACAGACTGTGCTGAAAATATACCCCAGCATATTCAGCGTATGAAATGTAGCCTTGTCGATTCTTTGGTGCATTAAAGGTAGAGTCAGGAAGGACAGGATACAGAGTCTGGGCAGAACCTTAACTTTCAAGGCAAAAATGGGGAGGGGGGAAGAATAGGACCCGCCCCTGCCAAACAAGGACCATTGTGTTTTATTAAACCTTATTATAAAATCCTGAGATTTTTGTAATTCCGAATTTGTTTCAGTCGGGGGGAGGGACTGGGGAACAGGATTAGTTTTTGCAGGACCCCCCCCCCTTTTAAAAAGGTCAGGAAATACACGAGAGAGGCAGGCAAATAGTGCGAGGGCTGATACTAGCAACTCCGCTCCACAAAAGCCGCCTTTGAGAAAACTACACGGGGATTTGCCCGCAGTTCTGACTAAAATTTGTAGGCCTCCAGTATTAGCGGAATTAAGGTTGGGGTCAGCGGACTGGTCACCGATGTCAGATGTTATCGGCTCATTCATTTCCTGCAAAAGACTGCAGCCTTTTAAGTTCGGGGGAAGGTAAAGAGCCCAGTCCAGCTGGCAACTCCAGCGACCTTTCTAAATCTGAAGGGGGGCGCGCTAAATAACTAGAAATTCACATTTAACTGTTCTCTTTCTCATACGCACGACCAGCAAACGTTTTGTGTTCGTGGAAAAGTCAAAACTTAACAACAAAAAGGAAGGCAGCATTGCCTTGAGACGGCAGCCCCCCCCCCCCACCCCCACCCCCCCCCTCCCAGCCAAAACCCCGCCGCAAAAAGGTAGCACCAAAAGAGTACCCCAATTCTTCCCCAAAATCGCGCTCCTTCGCCAAAGCGCGCCTTTAAAGGACTGTCGACTCGCATCTCTCTGTCGTCTCAGGTGGCTTCACCACCAAGCCGCAGCAACCAGAAGAAAACTCGTAGCTCTCGCCGAAGGAATCGCACCCCGCTAGCCTCCGTCTGGCCCTTCCAAGGGGAGCCCCGCGTTTGGTCTCTGGGAGCAAAGAAAAACGTCCCGTCTGGCGCGTTTTTGCCGCTCGTGTCTGTTTCAAGCAGACCGCAGAACTGTAGCAGTTCGGGGGAGGACGGCTCTGTCTGCCGTAGGAAAAGCCGACCCTCCCCCTCCCTAGATGTCTCGCGACCAGGAGGGTCCTAGTGGCCGCTTAGCCCCCCCCTCCCCGGGCTAATCCAAAGAAGACCTCCGAGACGAGCCGGCGCCCAACAAAGCTCTCCTGCACCAGGACCGACACCCGCCAGCCGGCCGTTTCCTACTTACAGCTGGACCTTGACCCACCACCAAAAACTTCGCTTGAACGAAACTCTAGTTTCCGGTGGGGTTGGAAGGAAAGGCACTCTGCACATGTTCAAGAGCTCTCTCCAATACGTCACAGGTGCCGGGACAGAATTTTGCAAAAACAGAATCAACCCAAGTCCCACCTTTCACGTGAACACAAGCGGCAGAGGATACCGTGTTCCCTTGGCAATTGCGGGTTTCTCCCCTACTCGCTGTTCTTTTCGCTGCTTCGAGACAGAAAACGTGAGCAAGACAAAAACGAGAATAAATCTCAGGTACTTTTTACGGGACATAAGCAGCGTTTTCACGATACCTTCGGGTTTACGGCGATGTACACCCGATGACTATTAGTAAAAAGGGGGTCGGGTTAATTTAATCTTTAATAAATCGTTCACTCTATTATCTAACTGAATCACTCATAGAAATTGCCTCGACTGTTCTTGCAAACGCATGGGTATTCTTGCATCGATAAGTGACCGCGTTCACGTGAACCTAGCTTGGAAACTTTAAAGTGGCTTACCTGGTAAAAAAGCCTACAGTGGTACTTACTTCTGAGTAAGCCTGCACAGTAACCTGCACTGTCAGGGCGCATGGGGCCGGGTGAGTGTGTGAGAACAGAGAGGCAGCTTCAGTTCAGGGCGGCGTTCCTGGAAGATCTGCTCATTTGAATGGAAATTGACCAGTATCAACACTGAAGGGAGGGCTGGGGGAAGGGAGGGCAGACAACAGCCCGGTAGGCTCAGATCGCTACAAAGTTTCAACGATGCGAAGAACCCGACGTTTGCCTTTGGAAATATACGCCAAGTTTATAGAGACATTCATAAATCGGCAGCGCTAAAAAGAAACACCTCCGAATGACTTCGTTTTTACTAACTTCGGTGGAACTGTGCATTTAAATCCCTTCACCTCCTTTTAACTATAAATTAGACGCTTCCTAGGAGGAGGATCCTCCTCCCGTGTGAAACAAAATAGGGACCTTTTAGGAAGA